TTAATATTTAAAATAAAATGGTTTTTATTTTATTTTAATTATTTGTCATTTTATATTGTTTTCTTTCTCTTTTTTTGTTTTTATTCATTTTTATAGACAGGGTCTCTGTCACCTGTGTTGGATGGAGTGCAGTGAGGAGATCATAACTCACTGTAACCTCAAACTCCTGGGCTGACACAATCCTCCTGCCTCAGCCTCCCAAGTAGCTAGGACTACAGGTGCACATCACCACACCTGGCTGATTTTTAAACTTTTTTTGTAGAGACAGGGTCTTGCTATATTGCCCGGGCGTGGCATATTTTTTTAAAGCCATTCTTACAGCTTTATAGATATAACATCTATATTTGCAGTCATTCATTCTTGGGCAAAATCTCATGGCTAATGATGGTTATAATTTAATTTCTTAGGATTATCTTATGGCATTATCTCTACAACAAGAACAGCAGAGCCAAGAGATCAATTGGGAACAAATCCCAGAAGGAATCAGTGATTTGGAACTAGCAAAGAAACTCCAAGAGGAAGAGGACAGACGGGCTTCTCAATACTATCAGGAACAGGAACAAGCAGCAGCTGTTGCTGCTGCTGCCTCTACACAGGCTCAGGTAAAAACTAGTGTTCTGAGTCTTAAATGTGATGATCACAGCTGGGTGCAGTGGCTCACACCTGTAATCCCAGCCCTTTGGGAGGCCGAGGCAGGCAGATTGCTTGAGGCCAGGAGTTGGAGACCAGCCTGGCCAACATGGCAAAACCCTGTCTCTACTAAAAATACAAAAATTAGCTGGGCATGGTGGTGAACACTTGTAATCCCAGCTACTTAGGAGACTGAGGTAGGAGAATTGCTTAACCTGGAAGGCAGAGGTTGCAGTGAGCTGAGATTGTGCCGCTACACTCCAGTCAGGATGATAGAACAAGACTCCTTCTCAAAAAAAAAAAAAAAAGGCGATGATCACTTTAGCAGTAAATTTCACTTGAGATAAAAAATTTTAAATTAGGTATTAACTCTTCCATTTTGTTAGGAATTTAGCACCCATGGGTTTTATGACATTGTCCTAAGCTTGTATCTCGTTTAGTAAAATATTTTCTCCTGAGGTTCTGATTTTCAAATTTATTTCTAAAATTCATAATAGCTGCCAAGAAAATAAGTCAATTTGGACGAAGTCCTTTCTATCAACTAGAGGGCAGTATGAAGTACTACTAGAAAAAATACAGACTTCGGATCCAGATAAATGTGGATTTGCATTTCCTGCTCCTGTCTTTCCTTCTAGTTGCAATCTCTTGGATGACATCCTCTGCCTCTCTTAGCCTCATTTTCCCTATCTGTAAAATAGAAGAACTCTTAAGTTTGTTGTGAACAACAAATAATATTAGGGCTTAGCCCAATGTTTAACATGTACTAGGTATTCAACAAAGATTGACATCTCCCTACTTTTCACTTTCCATAAACCGTTTAAAGCACTTAAAATATAATGGTGAGATTCTACATGTTAAATCTCATTTCATTAAGTTAAAAATATTCCCCTCCTTTTATATTTATACCATGCCATACTGCTGTTCTTTTTTTTTTTTTTTCAGATGGAGCCTCACTCTGACGCCTAGGCTGGAGTGCAGTGGTGCAATCTCGGCTCTCTGCAAACTCCACCTCATGGGTTCAAGCAATTCTCCTACCTCAGCCTCCCAAGTAGCTGGGATTACAGGTGTGTGCCACCACGCTCAGCTAATTTTTGTATTTTTAGTAGAGATGGGGTTTCACCATATTGGCCAGGCTGGTCTCAAACTCTTGACCTCAAGGGATTCACCCACCTCGGCCGCCCAAAGTGCTGGGATTACAGGCGTGAGGCACCGTGCCTGGCCTAGACTGTTCCTTTTAATTCAGATATACAAGAAATTCTGATTTGGGCATACAAAAAAAGCCAGATGCCCTTTTAAGTCTCATAAAACTAAATATAGAAGTCCCCATTAAAATAAGTATAAAATTTCTATTTCTAGCTCAAATATTGACTACTCTAAGCTTAATAGTTAAATCCTACCACGTTATGCCTAGCTTTTCACTCAAAAAAGGTGTCTTATTTCACATTCCACACTCCCAGTTCTCAGGGGTTCTTTTCTCCTTTTAAGATCTGTTTATTATGGTTGGGTGCAGTGACTCACACTTGTAATCCCAGCGCTTTGGGAGGCCAAGACAGGTGGATCTCGAGGTCAGGAGTTCGAGACCGGCCTGGCCAATATGATGAAACCCTGTCACTACTAAAAATATAAAAAATTAGCTGGGCGTGGTGGCATGCACCTGTAGTCCCAGCTACTCAGGAGACTGAGGCAGGAGAATCTCTTGAACCAAGGAGGCAGAGGTTGCAGTGAACTGAGATCATGCCACTGCACTCCAGTCTAACAGACTGAGACTCCATCTCAAAAAAAAAAAAAAAATCTGTTTATTATGGAATTTAGTGAGGTTTTGAAGAACTATTATAGTTTATCAAAAGGTGTCACTTTCTTTAACATTTTCTAAACTTTTGACAAATGTGTCTTCAATTTGACTTTAGGCAATATAATCTTATGTTATTTACTGTTTGAAATACTGACTTTGGGATGCCAAGGTGGGCAGATCAAGAAGGCAGGAATTCGAGACCAGCCTGGCCAACATAGTGAAACCCCATCTCTACTAAAAATACAAAAAGTTAGCCGGGCGTGGTGGCAGGCACCTGTAATCCCAGCTACGTGGGAGACCAAGGCGGGAGAATCTCTTGAACCCAGGAGGTGGAGGTTGTAGTGAGACAAGATTATGCCATTGCACTCCAGCCTGGGCAACGGTGCCAGACTCTGTCTCAAAAAAAAGAAATTTTATTTATTTAGAATAATGAATGCATTAATTATATCCAGAATGGTAGAGGCAACTGCTCATATATCACATAATATAACAAATCTGTATACCAATAGCTAACTTCTTCTTCCATCAGTGATTCCTTCCACTGTTATGATTTTTGTTTCTATATAACCATGAATAAGTCCCTTAGATTAATTTTTTCCTGCGTATTTTTCTTAAAGCAGGGCCAGCCAGCACAAGCCTCTCCATCAAGTGGAAGACAATCTGGGAATAGTGAACGTAAACGGAAGGAACCGCGAGAAAAAGATAAAGAAAAAGAAAAGGAAAAAAATAGCTGTGTTATTTTGTAACAAGTGTTGGCTTCTGTTGGAACCACCTATATGTCTTGAGAAACAAAACCACAGGAGGAAAGGAAGAAAACCCGATCAATACCGTCTGTGCCTGATTTCCCAATGGATTTTGTTCATGTTTTTTCAGGGGAAAGGTTGTTACTTAGTTACAATCAGACTTTTTCAAGTCACACAATACACTCTTTATGAGCTGGAGTTTTGTGTTACAAGTTGGAAATGCTGTGTGTTGTCATTCATGAAAAATACTGCACTTGTAGCCAGATAAGCAAATCACAGCAAATTTTGTGTCATAGTGACATTCATAACTCATATCAGTTAGTAAGCTATTATATCTTCTGTTCTAACAATGAATGGAGGTAATTGATTTAGTCTGATTCCTTCCTGAAATCTAAATATTAGCACAATAGTTTCTGAAATTTTACAATGTTAAATTATGATCTAATCCATGAGAAACCACGGGTTTAACATAGGGATTCAAAAAAAAACAAAAACAAACAAAATAATAGGTATAAATAACCCTTAATTGTATATTGGACTAGTTCAGCCCTTAAACAGCTTTACCTTTATTTAGGAATGTACATTTTAGGTATTATCTTGAGAATTGATCATGGAGCTTAGATTTAATTTAGATAGCAAAAATAAAGATTTGTATTTCTTTTCCAATAGCAAAAGGTTGCATAACACTAATACTTATAACCTATCAATATCAGATATTAATGACTTTGTAGTGTTGTAAAATTTTGAGGAATTTTGGAGTCTTTATCATAGGTAACCTGGACCACAGTTACTATTTATTGGCAATGTGATTGAGTATATGGAGGAAAGCACAGTGGATGCTAGGCCTTGTAAATATGGGAATGTAGAAAAGCAGATAGTTCAGTGTCTACCTTTTTCTAGTATTACCTTGAACCTTAAATCTTAAGTCATGTTTATTGCTAGAAAATTAAATGTACTTATTAAAACCAATGAAAAAGCACATTTCTGAAAGGAAGTTAGAGATAATCTCTGTGTCTTGTGAAAAGACATTAATAAAAATCTGAGAGGGCCGGGCACAGTGGCTCACACCTGTAATCCCAACACTTTGGGAGGCCAAGGCGGGCGGATCACCTGAGGTCAGGAGTTCACAACCAGCCTGACCAACATGGTGAAACCCCATCTCTACTAAAAATACAAAAGATCAGCCGGGCATGGTGGCGGGCGCCTGTAGTCCCAGCTACTCAGGAGGCTGAGGCAGGAGAATTGCTTGAACCCGACAGGCGGAGGTTGCAGTGGGCCGAGATCGCAC